ATGGGCATCCTATGACCCCTTTAAAATAAGCATGAAATGTAGAAAAGCAGCTTATCAAACAAGAAAAAAAAAGAGAAGGACTTGTTTTTGTCCATCCTTTGTTGGCTGGATTCTGAAAAGAATGGAAGCAGAAGTAAGTCATATCAAAGGAAGTTATCAACAAATAAATAAATAAATAAATAATGCTAATATATATATATATATATAAACTAACTCGGATATTTTCTTGTAAATTAAAATGTAATGAGTTACTTTATTAGTTACTTGAAGAGAAGTAATCTGATTACGTAACCCGTGTAGCACTGCTAATAAATAAACTGCTGAAATACATGGTGAACTGCAACATTTTTTTTTATGGAAAACTACACCATTCAGATGACTCTTCACAAACTTAACAACTTTTAAATTAGCATCAAATTACTGAATGCACCTTGAAAAATGCTGAATCAGCCTTTAGTTACTATGAACCCATGCTTTCTCAAGTAGCAATTTAAAAACATATTTCAAAGCACACTTGTTTACATGGGCTTTTCCTCAGGCAGTTTCCCACTCTTCTCTCCATACTTAATTTTGCATTATTTATTTTTATGCATCATACTTTTGCACTATTTTTCTTCTGTTATTCCTATATACTCTCATATTATACCTTGTCGGTTTTTACTTCCTGGTAACTGCTGCCATATGTATGTGTGTGGATGGTAAGTCTTCTGTAAAGCTCTCTGTAAACACAGTTTGGAAAGGTGCTATATCAAAATTTTACCTACTCATGGGTGGTTTGTAAAAACAAACATAAATCTTAAGTAATGCACTTTACTTAAGAAAGAATACACACCATTTCGAGTGTATTGCCTCAGGAATAAACACTGAATATCTGGGGTGTCAAACCCATATAACATGCAATGCAACAAATTAAAGAGTTTATCAGTCCTGCTATAGCAAAAATATTATGAACAAATCACGCAATATAATAATTGGACATGAATGTTATGTTATGAGCACAATTTAATTTTAAATTCGTCTCATTCTGCAACTAATGCTTCATATTCTGTTAGCTTCTCTCATTACTTTTCCCCATTGACTACTATTGTAAGTGCATTACTGTAAACATTATTCATATTTTTTGAACATTTTCTTTGGTAATCTACAGCATGCCACAGATTCAGTTTGTGCTTCACATTTCCATTAATGAAATCAATAATCTAAAAGGCTTAAGAAAATAAAAGCACAGCTCAAGGTTGTGCTCTGGTTTAGCACGAGTGGGTGGGAAGTATATGATAGATGCCAATCTAAGCATGTTAGAATAGGGTTTTATTCAGTCACAACCCACATGTCCACATAGCACCCTGCAATAGCAACTGCATTTGCTTCTTTTCTTAAAGAGCAGGTCATATGGGTTTTTGAAAAATATCTCTTTTGCAGTTTATAACGTAGCTATCCTTAAATGAAAACAATCTGCAAAGTTGTTAATCAAAAAGGTGCATGATAAATAAAGATATTGTCTCTCAAAAGAGAGAGTCGATTTTGAATCGCCTTAACGAGTCGTCATATTTTCGAATCTTTCGGTATACGTCACTGGGTAACACATTTGCATAATCCCCGCCTGCCCGCGACTCTGACCTGCCCACAAACACTTCCGCTAGTTAGTGTTTACATCATGTTGAGAAGACCACTTCCGCTAGTTAGTGTGTTTACATCATGTTGAGAAGACGCTGTGTTCAAGGATACCACAGAAATACAATTCGAAACTTTTGTTGTGTGCATGTCATTTTACCAAGGACTGCTTCTCTAATCTTGGCTTTTATCTTCGTTGGCTTCTTCTATCTTCTTAATTTGGACTAACAAGCTCTCCGAAGCACAATCTGTAAGTACGATTGATACGTTATGTGTACATTTTCAATTGCGTGCTCAAAATACCAAGTTTTTGTGCTAATATGTGATGTATACCTATAGTGCAGCTTCAGGTTTCCAGGTAAAGCACAATATTACTGTCTTTCTGAAGTAGTTCTGATAATTCGCTGTGAACCCACTATTTCCTAAGAGTGTGTCGATTAATGTAGACTGACGTTGTTCTAATTACTTTGCTTAATAATAAAGAATGCAGTGTAGCGCACAGACTTTATAATCATTGTGAAATTGCTGTTTATTTTGCTGCACCGAAATGTATTGTCCTCATTTGTAAGTCGCTTTGGATAAAAGCGTCTGCTAAATGACTAAATGTAAATGTAAATGTAAACTGTTTATTTTGCTGCACTGGCAGTTATAGGGTTAATGCGGGAGAGACGAGCGAGATAGTTAGGCTGCTGCGCCTGTGATTACAGCTGTTCTGTGTTCTGATTAAAAGTTAAGACACAGAGCGTCTTTTGTCTGTCGTTCTTCAAACATTACAGTAGACATATTTTGGTTTACAAACTGTATTGTTTCATCAGTTAGTCACGTTAGCACTCGGCTAACGTATCCACCATTATTGTTTTAAGTGTTCACAGTTTAGCAGCTAAACTTCAGCTGTGGGCACGATTCACTTGCATAAGTGTTTTTGTATTTTATGTCATTATTATAAGAATGGATTGGAGCACTATTATTGTTTTATGTAAAGGTGCTTTGTCAATGGTAGCGCTCGCTAACTTGCTCAAGGACTCCTCTCTGTGCCAATCACAACAGGCTTGGCCAGCTGACCAATCAGAGCAGAGTAGACTTATGGAAGGGAGGGGTTTTCTCCGAACTTGCTTGGAACGAATCGTTTCGAAATCATTGGCAAATGACTCTAATATTAAATGTACATTCTGAGAAAATTACAATGTTTTCTGACCTTAGATGCATTTAAACCTGTTGTAGGGGACTCCAACACAATATTAGGACACTTTAAAAAAACATATGACCTGCTCTTTAAGTCTCTCATCCCCGCTCAATCAAAACTCCTCTCTGGTTATTGTCCGCCACTCTTGGTTCCTTCTGCTCGTCAGTCTTCCATGTCTCATTATGTGTCTTTTCTCTCCCACATGTCTTTAGATTCACTCCTCCAAAACATAACACCCCACTGTCCCCCTCAAGAGGTTCTTCAGAAGCTGTTCAATCTCGCAGAAACTGACAGCAAACTCTCCCTCGCCTCTTTTTCTCTGGGCAGCCCTTAACCAATCCACTGACTTCTTTCCACTTGGCTATGCTTTCTTGGCCCTCCCTGCAAACCTCACAATCTTAGGATAGTTTTACAACACACCACACAAACAAGCAGTTTGGCAGAGTTGCCGGTTTATTTTGGTGCTCGTGTAAACAGTGCAGTACTGTGTAGCAGGAGCTTGCGATTTCAGTAATCTTATAAGGTCATTACAAATCATACTCTGCGACATCGATCTAATAAACTTGGGTACGACATGTATGCTGACTGAACGATGATGACACCTATTGAATCGCAGGCTATGATGCAAGTTTTAGTATAAAAGAATAAAACATCATCAGCATGCACAAGTGGTTAACAAATAGAGCAAGATGAATCACGCTTTGGCAATTGTGGTTGGACAAGGAGGACAATAAATTACTTATTGGAATCCCACATACTGGTGTTCTTTTTAGCTCTTTACGCCTCCATGGCATTTATGCTTTAGCGCCATGTCGCGGTGATCAATACATCATTTCATGTTACATTTTTATTGGCTGGTTAGTAGACGTAGGTCGTAGCAACAAACACACTGAGATGGTTATCCTAAATTTCTTAAACTGCCAGAAAATTGTCGCAGGCTGTCTTTGGTCGCAAGACCGTGACAACGGCTGTCTTTGAACCTTTCTCACAGTACGATGCAGGACAAACGAACAAAGAAATCACTGCAATTGTTTCACATTGGTCATCTTTCGTCTGGGACAGGCTAGAATTGTAAAAGGTATACCTGGCATTATAGGGGCATATAGAATAGGCTTTTTAACTATGTATAAAATACAGCGAAATTGCACGATTATGAACGGAATCACATTTGGTTTTTCACCATCGAAAATGGGTAGGATACAACTATTTGGACATGGAGCTGCACTGAGATCTCGATATCTCTGGGATTAAAATATACAGGGCCTTAAAAGTGAAGATTCCAAAAGAAAAGTTTATTAAGAACCAGAATGTAAAATCATATTGAGATATCTTTAATACTACTTGAGTTACAGGCAAACAAACTTTGAAAAAATTATATTTATGGCACTCTGACAGGTATGTTCTATGCAATTGTCTTGATAGAGGAAACAAGGTACATTTCTAGTTTCAACATTATTTGTTTTTCAGACATTCCCCTTTAAAAGAAAAGAAGTATCAGCTGAATGCAAAGTGACCCACATTTGGTTTTTGACCACTGAAAATGTTTGGGATCAGTAAGACTTGTAATGTTTTTTAAAGAAGACTCTTATGCTCATCAAGGCTGCATTTATTTGATCAAAAATACAGAAAAAAAAACAGAAATCTTGCAAAATGTTATTACAATATAAAATAATGGTTTATATTTAAGTGATAGCAAAGATTTATATTGTTAGAAAAGATTTATATTTTGAATAAATGCTCTTCTTTTTAAATTTTTATTCATCAAAGAATCCTGAAAACGTATTGCCGTTTCCCCCCCAAAAAATATTTGGCAGCACAACTGTTGCCAACATTGATAATTCTAATAATAAATCAGCATATTAAAATGATTTCTGAAGGATCGTGTGACATTTTATACTGGAGTAATGGCTGATGGAAATTCAGCTTTGCATCACAGAAATAAATGATATATTAAAATATAAAACCATTATTTTAAATGATAATAATAATATTTTACAATATTACTGTTTTTTCTGTATTTCTGATCAAATGAATACAGCCATGATGAGCAGAAGAGACTTATTTAAAACACATTAAAAGTCTTACTGATCCCAAACTTTTGAACAGCGGTGTGTGTGTGTGTTTGTCTCATATATATATATGACAAAAAGTCATACACATGCTTGTACACGGGTAAATGATCACATTTTTTTCTCTCTAATTTCAGATGTCAGATCTAGAGGATGAGATTAAAGTGTTGCGGCGGAAGGTGCAGGAAGGAGAAGAGGCACTTCAGAGGGCTGGACAGTATGGACTTCAACTCTTGGATGACAAAATGGATCTGCACAACAAATTGGAGGAACAACGAATCGAGATGTCCAATGTCATTGAGGTACTGACCCAGCACTGATTTGCAGCATTTGATCTCCACACACAGTATAATGATTGACAGTCCAGTCGATCAGTGAATGATTCCTTAAATGTGCTAAATTCTCCAAATGCAGGCCCTGGAACAAGAGAAATACTCTTTACAAAGGGATGTTGAGCTAAAGGCCCGCATGCTGGAGAGTCTGCGATCAGAATTTGATCTCGTCAGAAACCAACAGAAACATCAAATGGAGCAGCAACAAACTCTGCTGGAGAGGAGCCATGCTCTTGAGCTCAGCGATTTAAAGAATAAGGTCAGCTCATATGCTCTTTTGGTGTTCAGAAGTTTTTTTTTTTCAATATAAAGCAGGAGTTCCCAGAGGATTCATACATTTTCCATGTTTTTATCCGTTAAAGCTGACGCATGTCATTTTTTAAAATGTTACAATAATTTCTGACCACTGGAAATGGCGGAGTGTTCAGGAAACCTATTAGAAAACAATTAAAATTTTTGCATTTGGTGATGCCATTAGTAGCAAAAAACTTGAGTTGAAGCATAATTTCAAAAAGGTACTTATTGTATAGCTTATTGTCCTGAAAAGAAATGTTATCTCATCTGTGGTGCTGATGAAATGTCTTTGTAGTTGGAAAAAATGAAGACAGATTTAGAGGAGGCTCAACTTGCTGAGAAGCAGATGAGACACAAGCTGGACCAGCAGTCGCTGCAATATAACAAAGAGTGAAAAATTTAAGGGGGTCTGAATACTTTCCGTACCCACTGTATATATATAGTGAAAACGCTGTTTGAAAACATATGTGTGGTGTACTCCTGATAACCACTGTATATGTTTGTGCAATGTGAAACAGGCCTTGCACTCATTGTCATCAAACATTTACACAATCGGTCAATCTAGATGACTGACAGTAACCTGGTGACCAACAATGCTATTTTGCAAAAGCTTTTTGTTTTTGTTTTCCCAGCTAAACACAAGAGGGCTGTTGCTAGGATTGCTAGGATGTTTTTGTTGGCAAGCATCCGCATGGAGCTGAACTATAATGAAATTTTTGAGTTAGGGATTCTAGCCAGCTAGCACTGGACCGTGAGAGTGCCAGAGGTGTTGTGCATGTTTTGACAAAAGGCTTTAGTAGTGTGTGAAAATCAAAGACTTCCTACTTTCCACATCTTTCCATATAACACCCAATGATTCCTGACAGCAGGCGCACCTTGTGTATAAATCATGACTTTCTGGCAAAACAAAGGAAATGCCTGTACGGCAAAAAAAAAAAAAAGATTCAGACCTATATCCAATTATGCAGCTGGATGTGCTTAGATGGGTTAGGACTGTTATGGGTCAAAGATTGTTTACTTGAATTAGTCATAAACTATACAGGAAAGTTTCCTGGTAAATGAAAAGCCATGCTTTATCTGCTTGGACAACTTTTGAGCTTGCTTGTTGATGCTTCTCAAAGCAAGATTTAAATGGGTCATATCATACCTTTTGGATTAAAAGTCTGATGCACTATGATAACATACTCCACAAAGAACATTTACTGAAACTAAGCTACAACAACTCAACATGGTGAGATGAAAAGAGGTGTGTATGTTAAACAAGATCCCTGATCATTATCCTTAAAGTCTTAAAAGGTCTTTCCAACATTTAATAAGTTATGATTTAAGTTGAAATATTTTTAAAAATGAATCTAGAAACCACATCTGTAATAAAAAAATAATAATGTAACCAAAACATGGCATGCATTTAATGTACCTGACTGACCAAAATGACCAACACAAAACAGCAAGTTACATAAGTTTATGCAACCCAAATAAAATATGTTGGAGATGCTGTGAAAGAGTTTGTCTTTAGATAGAGTCAAACCCACAATAAAATATGTTTTTACTACCAAAAGAAAACCAGACCAAACTGTGATATTTGTGGAATATTTGTGTTTCTTTAAACTGGTGTAATCTGTCCATTTGACTGATGAATGAAACATAGAACAGGAAAATACTAAATACAATCATTACATTGTAGTTACACGAGTCTGACAAAAGTTTCCCGAGGCAGACTTTACACTGCCTGCCCAAAAAAGTCACACACTTTAATATTTTTGGGCTGCTTTTAGCTTTGATAACATTGTGTTTTCATTGTGGCATTATTTCGACAATGTTATGCAACTTCACAACATTTATTTCCATCAAGAGCATTAATTTGTGGCTGAGATCTTGTATTGATTCTGTAAAGTCAGGTTAAGGTCAGGACTCTGTGACGGCCAACTCGTACATGAAAATGATTCTTCATGCTCCCTGAATCACTATTTCACAAACTGAGACTGGTGAATCTTGTTATTGTCATCCTGGAATATGTGCATGGGTACATCTTCTGACAAGGTTGTTCAAGAAATAAAAAGCTACACACTGCATCAGTTAGGGTTAAAATAACTGATGCCAAACAAATAACATGCCAGAAACATATTAATCACTGCAATAATGATCCAATTCTAGACTCTTAAGTATTTACTTATTTAAATCCAAAACTTCAAAATAAAACATTTATACAACATTGTTGCTGGGTTCAGTCTGATCTTAACAGTTTGAGCGACATAATTTGGATTGTTTTGCGATTTTGTCACATTGCTCATTTCACATTTAAAGAGGGTGTTTATACACAAGTCTTAAAAGCTCAGCGGCAAATAAATAGCCTGTTTAATTCTAAGGGCCAGAGGGAGGGTGGAAAACAGTCATGTAAAACTAAATTCTCATTTTGAAGCATGACTAACATTAGTAAACCTTAGGGAATCAATTAAAATTATAAAATAAATGCATGATTTGACCCCTTTAAGGCTTGTTAGTCATGTACAAATGCTTAACATCACTTCCTATTGGTTCTTGCGAATGGTTCACTTTGAAACCAATGTACAAACGCAGAACTTGTGCAGGATAGTGACTGAGTGCAGTAAGTTTGCATAGGGTAACTCAAGCTCAAAGGAATATGAGCAATGTTCAGTCAGTCTTAAACCTCGTTCACACTGACAGCTGAATTTTATCGCAGTCGGTCAACAGATTGATGTACTGTTGGCGGGTGGTAGGCCTTCATATTTCTGGATGTCTGACTTTATCAGTGGACTGCGTTAACAGGTCATAGCATTTGAAAATATGTTCACTTTGTTGGCAAAAATAAACTGCCATTCTCTTTTGACTAGGAAATCAAAATAGAATGGCAGTTTCTAATTTTCTTGTTTCTAAAAATGGCCACATCCCATTGCAAATGGTCGCTGTTGCTTATTACAGTGGAAATTTGCCAACTCTTATCGCAAATAAATGACTTTAGGTGGCTTTAGATTACTGTCAATGTGCTTTATGCAAGGAGCATAAAACAGAAGATTAAAGAATGTGGGTAACCAAACACTTTCCGGTCCCCATTGACTTCCATATTATGTCAATGGCTACCAGAAGCTGTTTGGTTACCCACATTCTTCAGAAGATTTGCTTTTGTGTTCAACAGAAGAAAGAACCTCACACAGGTTTGGAACAACATGAGGGTGAGTAAATGATGACAGAATTTTCATTTTTGGGAGATGATTAAGTGTGATGGCAGCTATGACACGTACCACAATGTTATATATTTTTAAACTACAGAGCTTTGATCTCTTAAGATCTCTTATCTCTTAGATGATTAAATATCATCTAAGACTAAGATGTTTTGCAGATATACACTCTTAAAAATAAAGGTGCTTCACGATGCCATAGAAGAACCTTTTTGGTCTAAATGGTTCCATAAAGAACCTTTAACATCTGAAGAACCTTTCTGTTTCACAAAAGGTTCTTTGTGGCGAAAGAAGGTTCTTCAGATTATAAAAAGGTAAGAAAGAGATGGTTCTTTAAAGAACCTTTGACTAAATGGTTCTTTGTGGAACCAAAAAGGGTTCTTCTATGGCATCGCTTGAAGAACCTTTTGAAGCACCTTTATTTTTAAGAGTGTAGAGTAACAACTGATATTTATATGCATTTTATGTAAGTAGTTTGTTATACTGTTATAAAGATCTCATTGATTTACTTATAGTAACTCTCCTGCATTCTCCTCGTTCCTCGCTCCTCACAGTAGGCAACACCGTGACACTAATATTTTTCACCTATTTTTAAATATTCCTGTTTGTAAAATACAGCAACCTTTGCAACTCAAAAAGAGTTGCTACAAAATACTTAACCTTATAAAGCATACTGTATCATATCTGACATACAAAGTTTTGAGTAAGCAGTCTGCCCTACTTAAATGCTATAAACATCTTATTGATTTACATTACAAGCTATCATAATTTCATCTTACTTTTTGGCCATATAAATATCAGCAACTGCACCAAACTGCAAATTTTGGCTCAGTTTGTGCCTCTGAATAAAACAGTTTTTTTTTTTTTTACTTCTCGAGTATGAGCTCCATGTTCATATATCATACTATATGAATTATAAAATGCTGATATATCAAGTGTGAAACTCAAAAAAAAAAAAAAAAAAAAAAGAACACATTCAAACTTTTTTCAATAAACATATTCAAACTAAAGTTTCAATAAACCGCTCATTTACTTTTTTATAGACTACATGATTACATACTCATAGATTGATTACAAAACTATATAGGTATTCAAGGGCAGGCTTTAAGATGGTTTAGATCCTACCTGTCCGATCGCTACCACCTTGTTAATTTAAACGGGGAGTCATCTCAATTATCACCATTAAAATATGGAGTGCCACAAGGATCTGTCCTAGGTCCTCTGCTATTTTCGATATACATGTTGCCCCTTGGTAATATTATTAAAAAATACGGGATTAGTTTCCACTGTTATGCCGATGA